TACAGGATGTTGAGTCCTGTGATGAAATTGGCAGCTAAGTATGATTTTAATGCAATTCAAGGAAGGTAAAAGGAAAAGACTAATTTCACCCAGCTCAAAATGAATCAAAATTACATGAGGCTTTTTATCAAAATATCTGAAAATGTGTTCAAACTGAATAGAGAATGATATTTTAACAGCTGGAAAAGCCAGGGTTTCCACGTTCAAGGTAAAATAATTTAAGTTCAGGTTATACTGAGTCATTGTAATATTAAATGAGCTATTGGAATTATAGCCAAACAGCTTTGTTTAATATATTTAATTAAGCTATTATTATTTTTTTCTATCTTGCTTCTCCCTGGAGGTCAGCTTTGAACTTAGTGGCATACATTTCATTTAACACATTATGTTTAATCAATTTATACACTGTTTATCTCATGTCAAATATTTGCAATGGGTGTTTGACTTTTTCCATGCTGCATTTGCAATTATTAACTATTATAATTATAATTGTTTGCAATATTTTCTTCATGCTCAATCACCTCCTTAAAATCTCGGTTCCATTGAAAGCCTGATGTCATGCCTCTACTGTGAAGATTCAATTTGTTGAAACTAAGATAGCCTGGGTCTGGTAAATGCCTTGGATCAGCAGTCACCAATTGGTGGACCATGAGAAAATTTTGGTTGTCCGCAGAAAAATGACTTGCATTTTTTATATTGCAGGGGTCCTCAAACTACGCTCCCTTTACTAACAATTTCATTGTTAGTATCAATGAACACTTAGGTTGCTGCAGAGAGTCTCTCCCTTCAGGATCTTTTTGTACGATTGGAGGGAGGCAGAAATTCAGACTTGGGGTCTGCTTCAGCCTCCTAGTGCAGGACTTTGGGTAAAGGCTGGAGGGAAGTGCTGCTAGTGGCAAAGAGCTGAAGGGCCTTTTTCCAGTGGGATTGTATCATGGCCTGGAACTGGCTGACCATCTCATCCCATTGAGCCTCCAGGTGCCGGTACCTAGCCTTGTACTCCTGCAGGTGTTCCCTCTGCTTGGAAATAGTGGTCCCTGGGGTCCAAATGTTTGGTGACACCTGTCTTGGATGATGTAATGGCATGTTGGAATGACCTTGGGGGACAAGGGGAAGAGATGCTGCAAAGGAGGCAGGAACTCCCAATGGCTTAACCATCAGAAAACAAAATTTAGAAAGCACCCACCCTAGGGATAAAAAAATAAAAAGTGATGGGAAAAGTCTGTACTTTCAGATTTTCAAGATTCTGTCAATGTAGCCTCACAATAAATTAGATTTAGCTCATTTAGTCATGTCTCTTGTCTGGTTTACCCTGGAGAGCTGACAGATGGGGTTGTTATGTGCACTGCCTTGAATTACATAACTAAAGAAATATAATTAAATCTAGGAACTAGCTAAAGAAATACAGTAAATTCAAAAAACGGAAGTGTTTTAATATCTCTATATATGCAATGCATGTAACCTTGACACCTTCATTACTTTTACCTCCAGTCAAAAAAAAGGAGATTTGGAAAAATCTGAAGTTTATGTGAGAACTTAGGGAATTTCACTCTAATGAATCACACTAATATTGTTATTGGGGCCAGAATTGGGAATTGAATCCATTAATTTGCAGAGATTCACTAAGAATGGGCTCCCCCCAAAATCCAAAGGGATTTAAACTGGCAATATTAATTAGTTTGTGAAACAGAAGAACAAAATTCACTTACCCAAGACAATTAGGCGGGATTCATCTGTGGCGCTATCAAGCAATGAAGTTCCTTCACAAGAGTACACCCCCTCATCTGCTGGGCCCACATTTTGTATAACCAATGTATCCCTTTTAATAATTATTCTGTAAGGGAAAATACAAGTTGTACATCTATATACCAGAACTACATATTTTGCACTTTCTTGAAACATTTAGATGTGCAGGTTTTGCCTTGTGAAGCAGTCTTTCAAGAATCAGTTCATCTTTCATCCAGCTTGCATATTATATATAAATCCAATGTATATGAAGAGGGAGGAGGGGGATGATGAAAAGGAGGAAGAAACTTAAAGAGATAGTACCATTGTTACTTACCAAGAGAATTTAAAAGCTTTGCAAAGTGAAATTTGTCAACTTATGTTAATATAGAAATAATACACTGTAATGTAAAACTACAATACAGAACTAATTTTCTATCCCCATAGGTGAGGCAGGCATCCAGTCTCCTAGCCTTTTAAAAATGTGTAAAAACATGGATCTATCCTGTTTGATCCTTGCCTGTAGCTTGCATCAGAGCAAGCAGCCATGGGGCTGGTTAGCACCCTGAAAGCCCTCTCCCTGCCTTTTATTTGATTTTCACACTGATTTTTAATTAACAGAAAAACAGAATAGTAGAGTTAAAAGGGACATTGGAGGTCTTCTAGTCCAATCCCATGCTCAAATAAGAGACCTTATATCCTTCTGGACAAATGGCTGTCCAATCTCTTCTTAAAAATCTTCTGTGATGGAACACACACAATTTTTGGTGGCAAGTTGTTCCATTGTTTAACTGTTCTTATTTTTAGGTTGGTTGATTAGTTTCCATCCATTGCTTCTTGTCCAACTTTGAGGTATTTTATGGCAAACCCTTAGCTATTGGACCACTGCTATGGTGTCACCCCTAGTCCTTCTTTTCACTACACTAGACATATTCAATTTTTTCAATTAGTCCCAACTGTGCTTTTTCAAGAAGCATCTGGAGTTTCTGATTTTTCTTTGAGGACATTTCACTTTTCATCCAAGAAGTTTCCTCACAATATAAATAACTCCTGAATATTGTAAATATCAGCATTTTAAAAGTCAAGTGTCAGACATACATGTCAATACTGGAATGATTCTGCGGTTCTTTCACATATACAAGATATGTAAGCTCATACATCATTTGCACAGAAGTATGTACTTTTATCTATGATAGACTACACAAAATGGTTATAAAATGGAGTAGAATTTACTTTTAAAAACAGTTTTGGTGGAGAACTTTCATAGAATTATTTTTATTTCAAGGAACATGAATGGCTGCCAAATTAGAATCTTTTTTAAAAAATATTTAAATAATTTTTTCAAATGTAATATTTTTAAAAATGTATAATATAATTTAATTTCCTGATAATCAAGACATATAACTTTTAAACTTTTTGATTTTCCCAAATTCTCAAATTTCCACTTTGATATATGAATTCTAACATTTCACCACTAGAGGTCCTTCTAGGATCACAAAGGAAATTCCTATTCTATTCCAGAACTAAAAGTTACTTTAAAGTATTAAAACACCCCCCCCCCCCAAAAAAAAAGTGGGGGGTGTTACTGGTATATTCAAGGTCTTCCATTATTATCACTATTTCTAATCTTCATACTGAAGGGAAAATATTTTATTTTTTCCTCATTAAATTTGAGTGTTTCTTATTCTTATTAAGTTCTCTGTTAGACCTGAAATAAATGAAAGCTTTTTTGGTTTTGAAATACATATTTTATTGTTTGTATAATACTTTACAAGGTTATACTTCCCTTATTATTTTTACACTAACATCTATGAACTTCAATGTGTATTTGGTATTTTCTAAAGAAACCAAATGAACATCATCCTTCCATTAGCAATACTATCAGCAAATAAGACTTAAACATATTTGCTTTTAATTATGTATCTTTCTAAAAATAAAAGTGACTTACTATTGGGCCCTGCTCATAAGATACAATATTATTTCTGTGAAATGCAAGTTTATTAAAAGAAAAGAATAAAGACAAAGCATTCTCTTCTTACCTTCCATCCTCAGTGTCATTCATCTCCAGTTCCTCTCCATCCTTTTTCCAAGAAATTTTAAACTGATGTTTCAAATGTGGGTCACATTCAGAATGACATTTCAATAAAACTGAATGTGATTTCAAAACTTGTGGATTCTTAGGTATAATTGAAATTTTGGTAGCATCTAAGAAATTGAGAAAAAAAAAGGAGTGCATGGCCGTATATCATTTTCTTGTAAAATTACATTTCAATGGCAAAACATATAGTAGCAGGTTCTTTTGAAAACTGATTTACAAGGTTTGTCTTATTTTTTCCTATACATAAGCAATATTTATTGGAATTTATATAACATAAATTATTATAATTATAATGAACTATTAATCTGGTTTTTAATGTGAGAGAATACCCATTTTTTAAAATATATGTTGTTAAATGTATTTTGCTTTACCAAAATATAAGTTGTGCATTTAACAAAATTGTCAGGCCTGGAAGCCATCTTTTGCATTGGGCCTTCAGTCCAGCCAAATTTATTGCTGTGGGAAACTGGGAGGGGGATTATATGGAGTGGGGTAGATATAGTCAAAATAACATTTCTTTCTCAGAGAGTCAAGGACATCTTGCCTTGCACCTGGAGTGGTGTACTGGGAGGCAACTTCAGTTGGGATGGTGTTTGATTGGACCATGTGATGGACATGTGGGTGCTGGGTAGGGACTTGAGCTTCCATTTGGGTGGGGAAAACCTGGGAAATTTCAGATTTGGGTTTTCCCAAATGTGCCAATATGACATCTCTAATAAAATGGAACTTTGAGGAANGGGGAGGGGGGCAAAAATGAGCAAAAGATTGCCCATTTTTTGCAAAAACGGGCTCGTTTTTGTAAAAAAATATATGCATTTATAGCCTTATGGAGGCTTATAACATGCTGCTGGGGGTTGAGGGGGGGGCAAATGGCCAATTTTTGCTCATTTCTGCCCTCCCCAGCACCCAGGAGCTCTCTGAAAGTCTCCATAAAGATATGCATGGTTATTTTGGTGAAGGGGGTGGGGCTTCGGGAGGCAAAAAATGCTGTAATCGATGTATAAGATGCACCCAGATTTTCCGTCTCTTTTTTGAGGCAAAAAGGTCCATTTTATACTCCGAAAAATACGGTATATATTCAGTCAAATACTACCCCATTGAGCACACTGGAGCTCATTCAAAATTTGTGTGACATGTCATAACAAATGGATCCACAATATTTATATAAAGTTGTTACCTCCCATGTCATGTTCATTTCATGTGGTTTGGAAGCTTCAATTCTGATGTTTTCTGGGTTCTTGTCTGGAGCTGCAATGTAAGAATAATTCAATTAACCAATTTTATTTAATCTCCCTATTACAAATATATCCAAGAACAGTGCAATATTTAAGATGACTCTGTCAAAATGTAGATTTAAAAACAAAACAGACAAAAGGGAATAAATAAAATAAGAACATATAGCTGAACATTATCAAGGATAAAAAGCTATATGTTCTTGTGTTATTTATTGTGTTTATGATGCATCATAACTGGTTTGATAACTTCAGTGAAAACTAATCTTGAAGATTGCCTTCCCTCTCATATTTTTAGCAAACAAGCATACCATGTTCAGAATTGTACAGGGATAGGAGAAAAATTAAATTAATACCTAAAATTAATTGCCTTTAAAATGCTGGCAATCTTAAAAGAGAAGAGGAGAAATATGATAGAGATAGAGATATTCCTTCTTCAAGAAATCAGTTTGTAAATTACAATTTCCAAACCTTCAATATCAACATCTATGTTATTTTGAACTTTCTTTTTCTAGAATTGGTACTTCTGCAAGTGATTCTTCAACATGTTTACTTGTATACCTTCCCCAAATATATATATATATTTGTATATACATACATACACACACACACACACACACACACACACACACACACAC